AATATTTGTGGAGTGAAGAACTCTAAATTATCTTGATATTTTCAGGCCTTTTGCTTCTCCTGCCTGAGATCTCGTGCTCAACCACTCACAGCGTGTATGCCCTCAGTCAGGCTTGGCATTCTCAGTGCCACTTTTTACCATGCTTCACCAAAGAACAGGACACAGGTGTTCCCATCTGAGAGTTCTCAACAAAATTAAACAAGACAACAACAACAAAATAGCATGAGATAAAAATCCGATACTAAGCCCAAACCATGGGCTATCCCAGTATTCCAGTATTCTGTCTGGAAAATGGTACTTCTAAATATTTTGTGGGGGTCAAAAAATGATAGCCTCTTCCTGTTAAGGTTAGGGACATACTTAGAAAAATGCTTTGTTTTTCTTAAAAATCCATTATTGATTTTCCCATTTAAGAGAATTTGGCAAATTTATATGGCAGTACAAGTCTGCCTTTGGTACTGTCCAGTCGATGTGTTTCACATCAACCATACCTTTCCTTTCCCCAACCTATCTAAGCTCCCACTTTGCTTCAGATCCTTTTGTCATAAAAGTCATTGATCTTGGGGCCAGCGCTATGGCGCAGTAGGTTAAAGCCCCAGCCTGCAGCACCAGCATCCCATATGGGCACCAGTTTGTGTCCCGGCTGCTCCACTTCTGATCCAGCTCTCTGCTATGGCCTGGGGAAGCAGTAGAAGATGGCCCAAGTCCTTGGGCCCCTGTACCCGCGTGGGAGAGCTGGAAGAATTCTTGGCTCCTGGCTTCAGATGTGCAAAGCTCCAGCTGTTGTAGCCATCTGGGGAGTAAACCAGCGGATGGAAGACCTCTCTCTCTCTTTCTGCCTCTGCCTCTCTGAAACTCTGCCTCTCAAATAAATAAATAAATCTTTAAAAAAAAAAAGACATTATCTTTTAAACCAAGTTACAAGTTTTCAGCAGCTGAAAAAAGCTTCACATTTAGAAGGTTCCCAGGGGTTATATGCATTTTAAAAGACAGCCAGGGCAGGCATTCTGGTACAGCCTGTTAAGCAATTTTGAGATGCCCATATCCCATATCAGAGTGCCTGGTTCAAGCCGTGGCTACCCCATTTCCAATCCAGCTTTCTACTGATATGTCTGGAAGGCAACAGTGATAGCCCGAGTACTTGGGTTGCTGCCATCTGTGTGGGAGACCTTGGCTCGTGGCTTCAGCCTGGCCCAGCCTTGGCTATTACAGGTATTTTGAAAGTGAACCAGCAGATGGAAAATATCCCTCTCTCCTTCCCTCCCTTTCCCTTTCTTCCTTCATCTCTCTCTCTCTCCCTCTCTCTCTCTCTCTCCCCCCACTCCAGTCACTCTGCCTCTCAAATACGTAAGTAAATCTTTATTTCTTTCAAAAACAACCAAATGGAAAACAGTTGAATATTTTAAAATGGCTTGTTCAATTTGTTAAAAATTACTGTTGGATTATGGTAAGCACAACTATAACATACTGGTTTTAAAACATCTGGAGGCCAGCGCTACAGCTCACTAGGCTAATCCTCTGCCTGAGGCGCCTGCACCCTGGTTCTAGTCCCGGTCGGGGCACTGGATTCTGTCCCGGTTGCTCCTCTTTCAGTCCAGCTCTCTGCTGTGGCCTGGGAAGGCAGTGGAGGATGACCCAAGTGCTTGGGCCCTGCACCCACATGGGAGACCAGGAAGAAGCACCTGGCTCCTGGCTTCGGATCAGCGCAGTGCGCCGGCCGCAGTGCACTAGCCATGGAGGCCACTTGGGGGGTGAACCAATGGAAAAAGGAAGACCTTTCTCTCTGTCTCTCTCTCACTGTCTAACTCTGCCTGTCAAAAAAAAAAAAAAAAAAAAAAAAAAAATCTGGAAAGATCCAGACTGGGATTATCTTACAAGTGTCTAAATTTTCAGTCAATTTAAAGAAAGACATTGGGAAATGTGATGCAACTTATAATTTATCAGGGTAATGAAGCAGAACTCCAATTAGATAATCTACTCTCTAAGAAAAAGTCTTGGAACTTCACCAAAAGATTGGTAAAGCAAATTACAATTACATTTTTAGTTAAAAAACACACTTAAAGCAAGTTGTTTTTTTTTTTTTTTCCCAAAGGTTCTTTATATTACTGATTGGCTGACCAACTACCAGTCCCGACTATGGGCAATAGGAGTATTTCCATCCTAAAACAGATCATTTCTGATATGGGTAAAACTGGGTAATGGGCTCAAGTGTATTGGAGCAAATATACTTTAATTACATGGTCTCTCAGTTGGTGTTCTGGATAATCCTAAGAGACAGGGCAAATCCTCACACACTGATTTTGTAAGCAAGGAAAGAGGCTCTCAGAGTATGTGTTCACTGGACAAGCAGGATCAGAACTCAACTGCACTGACTCTTTGTCTGATATTGTGCCAAACACACAAAGGGACTCGGATATGTTCCAGTGGTTGAACATTTTTAACTAGATGTGCAAAATCTTTTAAAACTGGAATTGTTTAGCATGGTTCATGTTGCTGCCAATGGGATCTGCCCATTGAGATGGACTAAAAGTCTAGATACCTTACTCTTTATTTTCAAAGACAGTATCTTGGGGCCCACACTATGGCGTAGTGGGTAAAGCCGCCGCCTGCAGTGCTGGAATCCCATATTGGCTCTGGTTTGAGTCCTGGCTGCTCCATTTCCGATCCAGCTCTCTGCTATGGGCTGGGAAAGCAGCAGAAAATGCCCCAAGTCGTTGGGCCCCTGCACCTGCGTGGGAGGAAGCTCTTGGCTCTTGGTTTCGGACTGGCTCAGCTCAGGCTGTTGCAGCCATTTGGGGAGTGAACCAGAAGATGGAAAACCTCTCTCTCTCTCTGCCTCTGCCTCTCTGTAACTCTGCCTTTCAAATAAATAAATATTTTTTTAAAAAATATATTTTCTAGATTTTGTTTCCCTGTTTCCATTTTCACCTCAGGCTGTTGAACATCAAAGATATGCAGGCAGATTTGCCTCTTGTTCCTTCGTTATCTAGAATTATCATCAGCTGGGCTAGAACCAAACCTGGAAGAGGAGAAAAGGCAGCTGAAAAATAGATCTTTAGAAAGTACGAAGGATGCCAGTGAAGCTCTAAAAAGGGGGTTGGGAAACTAAGGTCTACACACTGAATCTGTCCCATGGCCTGCGTGTGGGAATAGTTTTATGAGAATACAGGCATGCTCATTTGCTTACACTTGGTCTACGGCTGCCTTCCCAGGCAAATTAGAAGGGATGAGAGTTGAGTAGCTGCAACAGATATCTATGGCCTGAACTCATTTATTACTTAGCCATGTATGGAAAAAGTTTGCTGACCTCTATTTGAATCATTAACTTGCTTCCTTACTTTTAAAGATCTATAGTCAAACAACATCCAAATATTTTTTAAAACCAATGTTCTCTTTCAAAAACAAGACAAAAACATCCCACTATGTTTTAGTCCTAGTAATTTCTGTAGCAGCAACCAGAAAGAGAAAGTAATAATGACTCTTTATATTCTGCTCAGACACATCCTGGGTACTGCCCAACCATTCACCACTTCCTGCTTCTCATGCCAGGCACATCTCTCACACTCCACAAAGGGACAAGAAGCCTTTGAAAATTTAACACTGGGTTACAACAGATGAGGTTGTGTTGTCTTGCCAGACTCATTCCAAAATGTCCTGTGTGACTATTTGTACAAAGTGAAGCTTGCTTTGATAAATGTAAACTCCTGGGGGGAAAAAAGTTATTTGAACAAGTGTGAGGGCTTTTTTTTTCTTTTTGTATAGTTTATAATCTGGCAAAGGTTGGACAAAGTCCAAATGATCAGGGCAAATTATATTTTACAAGAGATATTTGGAAATTGTTTACTCTTCCTTAATAACCTTGATAATGAGTTAGCAATCATTTACCAGGCATGTGCAAGATAACAAGCACTATATTACATGCTTAGCATATGATATTTTTAATAATCTGTGGCAGAGATGCAGCATTCCTAGAAACAATATAGTCTTTCAGAGTCTGAAATCCTTTACAGGGTTTCCAAATGAACTTTTACACAATGTCTTTGGAAAGCTAAGAAATGTCAATAGAAACTTACTTCTATTTATCCAGCTGTAACTGTAACATTAACTTTGATTAATCTTATATTTTACAAAAGGTCATTTTTTAAGAGCTTTGTAAAAAAAAAGATGAGCAAAACAAAAAGCATACATGTACAGCAAAGATTTAGTATGTTTCATAGAATAAAAAGCCATATGGGGGGTGGGTATTGTGGTGTAGTGGGTTAGGTGGCCTCACTTGGGACATCCACATCCCTTATTGGAGTGCCAGCTTGAGTCCTGGCTACTTTGCTTCTGATCCAGCTCCCTTCTAATTTGCCTGGGAAGGCAGCAGATGATGGCCCAAGTGCTTGGACCCCTGCCACCAATGTAGAAAACCCAGATGGAGTTCTGTGCTCCTGGCTTCTGCCAGACCCAGCTCTACCTGTTGTAGGCATCTGAAGAGTAAACCAACAGATGGAAGATCTCTCTCTCTCTCTCTCTCTCTCTCTGTCTCCCTCACTCTGCCTTTCAAATAAATAAAACAAAAAAATTGTGCTTCCTGACAACTGTGTTCATCATTCTTTTCCTTAACACTTCTCTAGCACTTATATCTTCTAACATCCTATGCTCTAGTTGTGAATAACTAGTTTACTATGTTATTTTATCTTTTATTATTCTGTAATCAATTAATAATCTGTGTCATTCTTCTATTCTAGAAGGCAAAGCCCTGCCTTGTGGATGCGATGCATGTCTTACATGTACTTCTTCTCCCTCAATAACTAGCTTAGTTTACATAAGACACAAAACAGAAATAACCAAATTAATGAAATCAGTACTGCTAATATTACTAATACTTACTTACAGCCATTTCACTTTCAATGTGTTTTTGTAACGTAATTGGCACACTAGAGCCATACAACTATGATGAATTGTAGATTGTTTTTTAAAATATTAAACATGGCCTTCATATTCAATCATCTTAGGTGGAAAGCAAACCGCTTAATACTGCCATTTTACCAAGGCCCAGAAATTTGTGGAATCTTGTACAAGGTCAGTTGATTAACAGAGACTAGATATCAAGCTTTTATCAAATGCCTAATTCATCCCAGACTCCTGACTTCAGCATGGTATGCTTTACACAAGTCTATGGAACGACAAAGTCTGAAGTCAGAAGTCAAGTGACAAAGAGCTCATTATGCCTAAAAATCCTGATTCCATAAGTTCACACAGTATGAAAGTCAATCATTTTAAAGACAAGTAAAATGAAAAACTTTTGCCTGAATTTACCAATTAAAATGGTTACTAGATAGGATGACTTCTTTTCAAGAAAAGATGTAGAAAGATGATGCTTTTTAGTGTACGTGCTGCCGAGCTGGGCGTGGAAGATCACGCTTTTTATTTTTATTTTTTAAGTTTTTTTAAAAATTTATTTATTTGACACATAGAGTTACAGTGAGAGAGAAAGAGAGAGAGAGAAAGGTCTTCCTTTGGTTTACCCCCCAAATGGCCACAACGGCCGGAGCTACCCAATCCGAAGCCAGGAGAGCCAGGTGTCTCTTCCTGGGCTCCCACGTGGGTGCAGGGCCCAAGCACTTGGGCCATCCTCCACTGCCCTCCCGGGCCACAGTAGAGAGCTGGACTGGAAGAGGAGCAACCGGGACTAGAACCTGGTGCCCATATGGGATTCTTGCGCCGCAGGCAGAGGATTAATCTAGTGCGCCACGGCGCCAGCCCCAAGATCATGCTTTTTAAAAACACGTGTAGACATGTCAGCTATTCTGTTCATCAGATTCCAAATATCACAATTAGAAGAAATTACTATTTTTTCTATTGCTTTGTCTTCTAGGTCTAATTCAAGAATTCATTTTCTACAAGAAGTCTTCCTAACTATTCAGCACTTGATCATTGCTTAGCTCTCCTGGCTCTTCAACTGCCTTGCCAGCTGGTGGGCACCAAATACTTAGTCTTCACTGCCATGTGAACATCACACCTCCCTAAACAGAAGGGAAGTTCTTTCGTGTCAGTATCTCTGAATCCTGGCCCATGGCAGGCAATATTTCAGATGATGGTGGTGGTGCAATTATAGAAATTATTCCCTCAATTCACATTACAAATGAAAATGTAAAGATTCAGGAAGACCTAAGTGTACTGAAGATAAATTTGTCACCCATTATTAATGGAAGCTTTGGCTTTATCTACAAATGTGAAGGAAGCTCCCTGAGATAAGGGATTCTGATGCAGTATGCAACATGAACACCAACCCATCAAGGCCCTAGACAAAAGAATCCTATGGATAAAGAACAAGAAAAAGTTTTGCTTTTTTGAAGGAGCTATTATGCGTTGTCAGGGAAATTCTGGAAGGCTTTGTGAAAGCACTGGAGCCAGGTGGTGGCAGAGAAGAGGGTACAGGATGGAAGAGGCTTAGGTGGGAGCAAAGGCATGGGACCTATCAGGGAACAGTGAGTAGTTTGGCTACTTTCATAGTTGTCTTATAAAGTCTTCTGAAAAGAATGAATATCTGCTACCCTGTCATTCTAACACATCCCTAAGATGAGCCAATGACTGAAATGCAGAGTCCTGGAAATGCAGACAAGAGCCAACTTGTGAAGGCTTCTGCATTCCAGGACCTGATCCCAAGCAGCAGGGGCACAGAATGGCAGAAGGAGTGATGGGAGCAGGATGAGTAACATGACTAAATTGGGATTGAAAAGAATCACTTTGATAGCAGCTAGAAGGTGGTCTACAGAGAAGATCAGTTAGAGTGAACTACACTAGTATAATGCAATGACTGACTACAGTGAGCTCCTGGCCCAAGGCAGAAGCAGAGGAACAGAGGCAAAATTCATTCTGATAAAACACCTGCTGTACCTTGCAGAACAGATGTAGAGGACGTGACTGCAGCATGAATCAGATGATTCTTTGGTATTTTAGGCTGATTAAACAGGAATGCCAAAAAATTAAAAGAAGAGATGAAGGAGGCTCCAGTTTAGCTGGATGGCTGGCAACTGAACTCTAAATGTATCGAGTCTGAGGTACTGTGGCAAAATCCACTAAGAAGTTTAACATGGGACCGGCGCTGTGGTGTAGTGGACTAAGCCTCTGCCTGCGGCACTGGAATCCCATATGGGCGCTGGTTCATGTCCTGGCTGCTCCTTTTTTTTTTTTTTTTTTTTTTTTTATTTTTTTTTTTTTTTATTTTTTTTTTATTTTTGACAGGCAGAGTGGACAGTGAGAGAGAGAGACAGAGAGAGAAAGGTCTTCCTTTGCCGTTGGTTCACCCTCCAATGGCCGCCGCTGCAGCCGGCGCACCGCGCTGATCCTGGCAGGAGCCAGGAGCCAGGTGCTTTTCCTGGTCTCCCATGGGGTGCAGGGCCCAAGCACCTGGGCCATCCTCCACTGCACTCCCTGGCCATAGCAGAGAGCTGGCCTGGAAGAGGGGCAACCGGGACAGAATCCAGCGCCCCAACCGGGACTAGAACCCGGTGTGCCGGCGCCGCAAGGTGGAGGATTAGCCTATTGAGCCACGGCGCCGGCTTTTTTTTTTAGATTTATTAGAGAAGGGGAGAGAGAGAGAGAGAGAGAGAGGTCTTCCATCTGCTGGTTCACTCTCTAGTTGGCTGCAACAGCCGGAGCTGAGCCTATCTGAAACCAGGAGCCAGGAGCTTCCTCCGGGCCTCCCTCATGGGTGCAGAGGCCCAAGGACTTGGGCCATTTTTCTACTGCTTTCCTAGGCCATAGCAGAGAGATGGATCAGAAGTGAAGCAATTGGGACTCAAACTGATGCCCATATGGGATGCCGGGACTGCAGGTGGCAGCTTTACCTGCTACGCCGCAGTGCTGGCCCCACTGCTCCTCTTCTGATCCAGCTCTCTGCTGTGGCCTGGGAAAGCAGCAGGAGATGGCCCAAGTGCTTGGGCCCCTGTCCCTCTGTGGGGAAACCCTGAAGAAGCTTCTGGCTTCTGATCAGATCAGCTCCAGCTACTGCAGCCACCTGGGGAGTGAACCAGCAGATGGAAGACACACACACACACACATACACTCTCTCTCTCTCTCTGTAACTCTCAAATAAAAACTTTTTTTTTTAAAGAGACTGAAAAAAAAAGTTAAACATGTCATTTGGATGGTATTCAGGAGAGTGAACTAGACCAGAGTGGAGGAGGGAGCTGAAGCTGTGAGCATGGCTAAAAGGAGGCCGGAAGTGAAATTCTGTTCAACCCAACACTGTGGACTGTGAAGGAGTATCTTCTGGCGGCTATCAGAGTGATCACTCTCAGTTGGGGAGGGAAAGGAGTAAGCTAAAATGAAAACAGTCATGGAGGAGGGGAGAGCAGAGACCACACTGCAGGAGGAGCGGCGGGAACCCACTTCCAGACCCCCGAGTCCCTGGCGTTACCTTCACCTCCACCGTGAATGGTGGAACGCAGGCATTCTCTGCTCTGCCCACTATCACTTCCTCCAGAGGGTCCCATTCATTGTAAGAGGAGACAGGGCAGTCCTTGGGCAGAGGATCAGTGGCCTTGTCATCAGCTGCACAGGAGTTCTGGGAGGAAGCTGTAGCTGCCTGGGTGCTCTGGAAAGTTCGCTGCACCCATCCTGTCACGGTTCTTCCAAGCTTTCAAGAACGAAAACAACAAGAGGTTATTGTGCAGCCCTATAGAATACTTGGGAGGAGGAAGGAGAGATGGGGTGAAAACCCAGCGTAATATGGTCAGACATTTAAAGTCCCTTAGGAGAGGATAAACCAATAGTGCATAGGCATAGTGGGATTACAGGTGATTATCCACCTTCTAGTTCATGTGCATATTGCCTTTTTAGCTATTGTTATTCGCTGTAACTCCTTAAAACTCTTAAGTAGATTTTTGTGTCTGGTGACCATACACCATCATCTAGGCCTCAGATCAGATCTCTGTAAACAAGCTTTCATCAAACTTTCAGCAACTTTTCTAAAGAAAACCACAGAAAGTTGCTTCACAGATCTCTGCCAAGTCCTGCCAGGCGAGAGAGCCTCCTCCACCCTTCAGGATCAAAGGTTACTAACATTAGGCCTTTTAAAAAGTATTAACTTTTACAAATGGCAATGTGGAAGCAGGTGCACAATAGGGCCTTATCCTTCAGAAAAATCAACTTCAGACTCAGCAATGTTCATCTCTTACATCCACTTCTTGTTCTATGGCACTGAGATGATCAGCTGCCATCTGCTGCATTTTACAGATGGCACACAGTACCCTAGTCAAAATAAGGTTTACCCAGGCACAGATTTGAACAACTCAAAAGGAAATCTAAGAATTGCAAAAAGTCCTTCAGAAATACAGGTCCTATAAGAGGTGGAACATGGAGAGAGTCTCAGCCACCGGGCAAACTTCAACCACCCAAATTTCTGCATGCTGTTAAAAGGGGAAGGAGGGCAGCAGGGCTGGAGACCAAAGCCAGAGGGAGAGTGACAGCTGTTCTGGACCCAGCTGCTGGGGAAGCCAGGCTCCCTGAGCTATTCCTGTCCTGAGAGCAAGGGAGGGTCTGCAGGCGCAACCCGACATCCCAGAGAAGTGGAGGGCGGGGCTAGGCAGAAAACTCCGGGTTCAGGGCTGAACTTGCTTCAACTCAACTCCGCTTGTGATTCCAGGACTCCATGTTATCGTAGGAGTGAGCCTGCATGGTAGCACTCCGTCCCCAGTTCCCACTTACCCTCTACTCCAGCCACCCCACACGCATCTCCCCAAAGCTCTCCCAACTCTCTGCACATCCAGAGCACTGAACCCCAACAACGCCACACTTCAAAATGGAGCCCCCGGTCTGCAGCATCCCCTCTCCCTGGGTGGAAAGCTGTCAGGTTGAGGAAAACAGCAACCCTTGAGCTGCGGTGGCCCAAAACGCGTAGAGCAACTGTGCCCCCCACGGGTTGGGGCCGTCACGCGCGCCCCCTGCGCGCCCCCTGCCCGAGGGAAACAATGCCAAGTTCCCAGCAGCCACAGCTCTTGAAGCTCGGCCTCCAAGGAAGGGGCCAGGGAGACTCTAGCAATTCTGTCTGGCTAGGGAAAGGCAGGGAACGCGGCGGGCCCGGGAGGGAGCCGCTCTTCGCTCTGCGCGCTGAGCCCAGCAAAAGGGGAGACGCGAGACCGCCAGACAAGGTGGGTGGCGCACGCACCCGAGACCCGATGTAGTGCACCGCCTCGGCGCCGCGGCTCCCGCCACGCAGACACCGCACCCGCAGCATCGCCCAGGTCCGGCTGGTCCACGAGCGGAATGTTCCCGGCGCACGGCCTCGTCAGCCCGAGCTTCCCGAGAGCGCGACCGAAGCGGGTGTACGGGCGCGTGCAGTCCGTGGCCTTTTGTAGCCGCGCCCCGCCCCGGCCTTCCCCCTCCGCCCCATTGGCTGCCGGGAACAGGTGGTGGGCTGCGGAGCACTGGGCCCCGCACGCGGGGCCGCCCCGAATTAGGAACTGTCCGGGCTGTGGCAACCGTGCCGAGTCTCCGGGCTTGCCCTTTTTTAGTTTGTCAGTCCGCTGATGCTTGTACTGCCCGCCACGAGGTCCACTGGCGTCTCAGGGAAAGGGTGTGTGTAACTTCCGACCAAGGACTCTCCTGTGTGCATGGATTTCAAAATGTTTCTGTACATATATGAGGGGGCACTTTAAAAGTTCGTGGAGATGGCGTTCATAGGGCTTATTTTGGTGCAAAAAAAAAAAAAAAAAAAAAAAAAAAAAAAAAAAAAAAAAAAGAAAGAAAAGAAAAAAAAAGAAATCCACGCATAGTTTTTTCATAATACGCATTTTCTTGAACTTTTTAAAGACCTCTGTTATTGCTTTAAATGTACGTTTGTGAATTTAAGTATGCAAAACCTGGGTAGTCTTAGTTTTAACTTCAGGTATGCACACTGACTCGGTCCCCTCATTGCACAGTGAAGGAAACCACCTAGAGATTAGCGGTCTTAAGGCAACACCAGGTTTGAGACTTGAGACGGTCTTAGTCTGGAGCTGGGATCCTGCACTCATCTGGGGCTGGGTTTTCCACCCACCAACCTGTCCGGTGTTCTTTGGACCACTTGACTTTGAAATGCTCTTTGGCCACCTGCCTCTGGCTTGGGAAAGTCAATCATGAAAATAGAGACAAATGTGGGTCAGAAATAAGGGAGGACTACTACTGATAGCTCTTTCCTCCCATTTCATGTATTACAATTTTTGTTTCAACTTGATTAGGATGCTTTTGTTTAAAAAAAAAAAAGGTGTGGGTGTTTGGCACAGCAGTTATTGCGCTGTGTGGGATGCCCACCCCACATGGGAGTACCTGAATTCACAGTCCAGGCTCAGCTTCTGATCCAGCTTCCTACTAATATGCACCTTGGGAGGTGGCAGGTGATAGATAGCTCAAGTACTTGGGTCCTTGCCAGCCATGTGGGAGATCCACATGTAGTTTCAGGCTCCTGGCTTAGGTCTAGCCCAGCCCTGGATGTTGTGAGCCTTTGTGGAGTGAACCAGTGAGAGGGAGATATTTCTCTACCTT